TATATGTACCTTTGTTTTGGCCGTGTGGTAATAGCAACTAATAAGATCAGTGCCATTTGCCATTGTTGCCTTGTGATACCAAGCGAACATTGGATATTTACCTTAGATTTTCAGTGTTGCTGTGACCAAATTATACTGAATAGGTCATGTTTACTAATTGGCAATAAAGGTCTACTTTATATTATTAATTGGTGTATGATTTCAGGCTATAAGTGAAACGTCGAAAAGACATAAAAAGCGCATTTTTGAGCTTTTGCCATTCTTTGTGTCAGCATCGCTGCTGCTTCGACGATTTTTGTTGTTTCTTAGACGAGCGTAAATAAATAAACATATAAGTACAAATATAACTGTTTGCAAATATATCTATACACTCGAAAAAGTATATATATATTCGCATATATAAATTTTTTCATCTGCGTCCTACTGTGTAATGGTATTTGGCAACAACGTGAACCAAAGGGTTTTCCGGTTAGTTTCCTTTGTTTTATTTGTCTGTAATTGAGCATTGTTTTTTTATCGTTGAATTAACTTTTTTAGTTGAATTAAATTGTAATTTTGTTTTAAAAAATTTAGAGCTTTTTTAGTTGAATTGATTCAATCAGTTCATTTGTCGTTGCACGAAATTTGGTTATAAAGCAGTAAAACATAGTTAAAAATGTTTTTTGTCGAATGTTGAAGAGATTTTTTAAGGTTATTTTTTACTTTCTTTTTTAGTCCATTTATTTAATTATAGATTTGTTTTTATTTTCATTTTTCGTTTATCATTGTTGTTTTATTCATTTTATTGACTTTTACCAGTGTTTAGTTTAATTGGCAACAAAATATTTTATTTGGTCAAAGAAGATGCGCATGTTTTGTTGCAGAAGGGACGCTTTATTTGGTGGGGAATACTGTCGAGCGCAGCACGATTGACTGTTTAACGACGACATCGACGATCGTCTGAATAATCATAACAGTAATAGCAGTATTGGTAACAGTATTAAGAAAAGAAATAAATATTTGTTTTCAATTTACAACCACAAAAATAGACGTAGTCTAGCGGTGCTTCTGGTTGCTACAGCTATTGGCGTTCGGATCATAGCTAATTTTTTTGTCACTGAGGCTGTTCAACTGATAACCGAGATTACTGTTGTTACGATCGTTGTTATTTGCGAACGACGAAAACATCTTCGACACGGAAAAGAAGGTTCTTATTTATTTTACTTTTTTTTCTTTTTTTTTTTTTTTTTTTTTTTTT